AGTTAAATAATTTCAGTATTTCTAATTTTTTCAACCAGGTTTTATAATTAATTTCACAAATATCAAAGTTAATTTGATTTTTTTAGTTTAAATTATTATTTTTTTAAATCATAAGCTATCAACACATGGTGGGCATCCATGCCTTTCGATCAGCACCTTTCAATGGATGAACAAGTCCTTTCATCACATTTTAGGATGTGTCATGGCGTCCTTTTTTTCCTAGTAAGATGTATTCATAACAATTAAGTGGTTTGTTACTAGTGATTTTTATTTTTTTCTTTTTTCTTTCAAAAACAATACAGGTTTGTCTTCTTTTTTTTTTTAATTTTTTTCATAGTTTTTTTATCAATGTTTTAGTGGTTTTTAATTTCATTTTTCAATCCAAATTTATTATATTTTGTTTTTTCTAATTTGATCCTCATACTTTTAATTTTTTTATTCTATTGTTAATTTTTATTTATTTAACCCTCCTATCAAATAGTTGTTCTTTCCTTTTAATTTATTTTTTATTTTGATTTTCATTCCTATTTTTTTAATTGTTACTTTTTTAGACCATTTCATGTAATTGATTTTTTTCTCAATTTCATCCTTTGACATTTGATTTATTGAGGATTAGACTTTTTTATTTTTCCATGTATCGTCCTTCCAATCTAATGACCTATGACACAAGTTTTAAAATTTATCTATCGTATGGTTTTCAAACCCAACTCGAGGATCAACTCGGAGCAAATCCTAGGTCACTAGTTAGGTGGGTTAACTCGGGTCAATCCAACTTTTTTTATTTTATAAACATGTAAAAATGACATATTTTGAAAAAAAAACTAAAAAAGAAAAAAATCAACAAGTTTTGACTAGGTCTTTCCAAGTCTAATTGGATTGTAGGTCAACTCGGTTTTTTGACCAGATCATACTGGGTTATTTCTCCCCCTATTTTTATTGGGACTCTACCCAATCAACTTCTAAGATCACCCAAGTCATAGGTCAAATTGCTATGTCAGGTCGGGTTTTAAAATAGTGATGTATTAGGTTATCTCAATCTTATTATCTAAACCATAAGTTTTGCAAGTTAACCCAAGTGACTCACCCCTTATTAATTAGGTTAAATTTTTATCTCATAACCATAAGTTTACTCGAGCCGGGCTTTTTTTTCTCTTTTTTATCCAATTATATACTTTCATAGGTTTTGTTTCTTAGGTTATTAAAAAAAAAACTTTTGTACATTTACTATTGTTGCCAATTTTCTTATCATCTTATTAAAATAAAAACCAACTTATTCCACTCAATCAAGGCTATAATTTGATCCATATTATTTATTTATTTTTGCCATCTTGTTAGTTTTTTTTTTCAATTTAACCCTTCAATTAAAGAATTGTTTTTGCCCTCTAATTTACTTTTTATTTCAATTTTCACCCTTATTTTTTCACTTGATTTTTTTTCTCGATTTCATCCTTTAGCAGTTGAGTTGTTGAGCATTGGACTTCTTGATTTTTAATATATGGTGTTGTTGATCTAATGTTGTGTTTCACGAGTATTAAAAGTTATCTATTCCATGGTGTTCGAACCTAACCTGGGGGTTGATCGGTGCCAAATCCTGGATCTTGAGTCAAGTGGGTTAACTCGAGTTAACCCTAGTCAATCCAATTTTTATATTGTATAAACATGTAACAATAACATAAATAAATAAATAAATAAAAGGTCAAGGGTTTTGAATGGGTTCTCCCATGACTATTTGGGTTACGAGTCAACTTGGTTTTTTAAATGGATCATACTAGATTAATTCTCCCTTTATTTTTGTTGAAACCTGGTTCGACCTCGGCCTTGGATTACGCAGGTCACAGATCAAAACGTTCGATTGGGTCGAGTTTTAAAATAGTGATTTATTGGGTTATTTTGATCTTATTGCATACGTTATAGTATTGTCATGGGTCACCCCTTATTATTCACATTACATATTTATCATGCAACCTCAGGTTTCCTCAAGCTTATTTTTTTTATTTTTTTATCCAATTAAATATTTTCACAAGTTTTTTTCTCAGGATATTATGGTTATTTTTTAAAAAAAAAAATTATTTGCTATCATTGCCAATGTTTTAATCGTCTAAACTCAATCATGGTTAAATATGGTTCTCATTCTTTTGATTTTTTTATCTTTTTATTATTCTTATTATTTTCAATTTAACCCTTAATCAAAGAATTTTTCTTGCCCACTAATTTATTTCTTATTTTATTTTTACACTTATTCTTTTAATTGCTAGTACACACACACACACATTTTTATGGAATTTTTTTTTTCTAATTTCATTCTTCAACATTTGATTGGTTGAGAATTAAACTTCTCAATTTTTTTCATGCATGATGCTTCCGCTTTAGTGACCTATATCACATGTTTTAAAAGTTAACTATTGTTTAGTTTTAAAATCCGACTTAAAGCAAGTCCCAAATGAACTTGAGTCAAATAGGTTGACCCGAGTAACCTAGGTCAACCTAATTTTTTTTATTTGATAAATATGTAAAAATAATATCATTTTGAAAGAAAGAAAAAGGTTAACAGATTTTGACTAGGTTTTTCCATGGGTAATAGGGTTACAGGTAAACCTGGTTTTTTTTAATTATAACATAACAAGTCAATTTTACCCCTATTTTTATTGAAACTCGGCCCAACCTAGGCCTTGGATCACTCAGGTCAGGGGTGAAATCATTAGGTAAGGTCAGGTTTTAAAATAATGATCTTTTGATTTATTTTGATTTCATTATCTAGGCCATGAGTTTGAAAAGTTAACGTGGAAATACATATTTTTATTTCACTTATTTTATCATTTTTTTTATTTTAATGCTTATTCTTTTAATTTATGATTTTTTTCCCTTTGCTCTTATATAAAAGTTTTATTAGTTTTCAATTTCATTCTCCAATATAAGTTTATGATATATTATTTTTTACAATTTGATCCTGATTCTTTTGGTATTTTTACCCTTTTATTAAGGTTATTATTCTTTTTTAATTTAACCCTCACATCAGAAATTTATTGTCATCCTTTATTTTTCTTTTATTTGTTTTATATATTTTTTAATTTTGTCCTCTAATGTCTCATTTTCTAGGGATTAGGTTTTGCAGTTTTTTTATGCTGGTACTTTCGATCTGATGACATGTATCATGAGGTTGAAAAATTAATAGGGTTGGTATTTTTTTTTTCAATTTTGTCATTCAATTTTGTTTTTTTTAATAGCTACGTGGTTTTGATGGGTTAACCCAAACTAGCTTACCTCTTAATCCCTAAATTATGTGTCTATCATCCTAGCTTAGGTCGATTCACATTAGTTTTGTATCCCCTTTTTTATGTTATTTTTCCTTTTATATTTAATTAGCTAAAAATTAAACTACATCATTTTTTCATTATTGGACTTCTTTGGTTATCATGGTCACTTTTTTGTGATTTTTGTTTTTGTTCTTTTGCTATTTTTGCCTCTTCTTTGAATCTTATTCAAATAAGACTAGCTTATTTGAATGGTCAGGAGTATAACTCGGGTTATTGAATTTTTTTTCTTTCTTTAAAATATTTTGATTATAAATAAAGTAAATAAAAAAAATATGAATCAAAATCTTTAATTTATCATCAAAATATTCTTTGATACTTCGCATATATGAAAACACGTAAAAAGAAAGAAATCTCGACACATAAAACCATTCTAATATAAATTAGAAGAATGAGATTTGAAATAAAATAAAATTAGATAACCTAAATGAGAGAGGAAAAAAAACACAATGCAATATTTATTTATATGAATAGTGCATCTAATCAACTCAATATCAACTCAATATTGAAGAATAAAATTGAAAAAAAAAAACATACATTGAATTTAGAAAAAGACAAAAAAATTACTTGAATCAACCTAAAATTATCTAAATCAACTTGAGATAACTTATTAAACTTGTAAATTAGGTCATGAGACTGAGATAATTTCATAAAAAAAATTATGAAGCTCCTTTTCTAATAGATCTAACAACTCATACGTTGAAGGTTGAGATCGAGAGAGAAAAATAAATCTAAGAGACCGGGATAACTTAACATAAAGAAAATAAAACATTATGATCCCCTCAAGTTCTCAAACAATGAAATATTAAAAAATAAAAATAAAATAAAAACTAAAAAAAAGATTGGAGGGTGAAATTGATTAAAAAAAATAATTATTCAATTAAAAAGACAAAAAAATGAACTAAGTCAACTTGGTTTAACTTGTCAAACCCGCAACCTAGATCATGAGATCATGATAACTTTATAAAAAGCAAATTGAAAACATCTATGAAGTCCAAATAAAAAATATTCAAGTTAAAAAAGAACCTAAAAAATAAACAGAATCATCGTTGGCCAACTGGTCAACCTCACAACCTGATTTATGAGATCATAATAATCTCATAGAAAACAAATAAAAAAAATATAAAGTCTAATTTCTAACCAACTGAATATTGAAGGATAAAATAAAAAAAATAAAAAAAAAACATAAAAAAAAACTAACATAAGTTAACTTGAGTTAGCCTATTGAGTTCGTGACTTAAATTATGAGATAGAAATAAATTCATAGAAAAAATAAAAAAATATTATGAAGTCTCACTTTTAAGATATCTAATATTAAAGGTTGATATCAATAAAAAAAATGATGTATATTTTCTAAAATAATTTAATATTAGATGATGAAATTGAAGAAAATAGATTATTGATGGGTTTTTTTTTTATAAAAAAAAACTATTGTAATGGATAGGGTTAATGTTTTGTTAATTGATGTTTTGATAATAACAACTTATATTAGGCAAGTTGGAATATTAAAATTCGAGTGTATCTTGAATTAAATATGCTTGTCATTTGATGAATTAAGAGATTCGTAAGACGTGAAACATGGAATTAACGTTTCATTATAAAATACAAAAACAAGTTTAAATACGGTAGATGAAAGGGACAGAATATAAACAATAACTAGAGATTGTTTATTCGAACCGTGCAGATACATATCAAGATTAAAAATAGAATATATTAAATTAGCAGCCGAACGAGGCTGCAACGCCAAAACAATACATCCATGATGAACGTGCTTTAATAAAACATGCATACATCTGAATCGATCTTTACACCGCCAGCACCCACCCACCACTGTTATGTACATTAACCAATTATCAATGCTTGCTGTTTGAAAACAATCATCTGCAAAAATGCGAGCTGCTTTTTCTATCTCCAGACTGAAGCAGCCAGAAACAGTTTATTAACACAACAATGGAAATTAGAAAATTATTCTATTTACATTCAGCGGTTGGCACTGCCCTCCAACAAGTTCCTCAAGCTACATAATGCCTCTGTAGAGAGGCTAAAGCACCTCTGTTTCCGTTGCCTAGGTGTAGGCGGTGATGGCTCCTGATAATCAGTAGAAGAGAAGCACACAATAATTACAGTGAGATTGTCAAATGTGTTTCGGCGAAAGGCCTCCATAACTAGGTCCCTGGCACACTGATCAGGGTCATCATGTCGCTGCAGCCCATGGCGGACAAGGCTGACTGCATGCTGGCTTGACATAACATCCCAAATCCCATCACAACCAATTATGAGAAATTCATCCTCCTCTGTTAGAACAAGCTTCCGGAACTCTGGCTCAGCAATGAGAGGTGAAGGAGAGCCCCGGGGGAGTTTCATGTCCCAGTCACCAAGGGCTCGTGAAACTGACAGAACACCATTGAGATATCCATCATCAATATACCCACCCAATTCTTCAACCCGCCTTCGCTCTGATGGATAAATAGGCCTATGGTCTTGAGACATGTCTATTGCCTCTCCTTTACGACAGAGAACTGCTCGGCAATCACCAGCATTTGCAACCATTAATAGCCTGGAACATGAAATCATGATCAGGATGCCAGTGAAAAGACAAAAATAAATCCAAGGAAATACTACAAAACTGTCAGCTTGGAGCACCCAAAAAAACTGGTACTTTAAAGTTCCTCCTGACTTTTCCAGAGTCAACTAGAGCTATGCACTGAAAACATGATGTAGGAAGGCTGGCATTGAACCATCTGAAACATTGACGGCAACATGCAATATGGAGCTAGCGTATGTAAACATCAGAAGTTAACTCAAATATTTGCTGGTTCAAGTAAGAAAGAGAAAACATCATGTGCAAGTGAAAAAACAAGACCACCTTAGTTAGCATATCTTAGAAAACTACATGTGAAGACTGATATATAGAATACTGGATTTCATAAAACATTTATTGTAGATAAACTAAATGGTGATTGACCAGCATCATAACCACTCACATACCTAAAAACAAAGCTTTGACGAGGTAAAACGTGGAATCCATATACATGGTTGGTTATATTTCCATGCTGGTAAAACGTGGAATCCATATACATGGTTATATTTCCATGTTTAAGAGCAAGAATATACCTTCCAAATACAAAAGCAGTAAGAGCTGTTGTCCCAGAACAAGTGTTCACACTGCAGTCATCTGCCAAAGCCAGGTCAGCCAGATGAAATGCTTTTCGTAGGGAGTTCTCAACCTCCTCCAAGAAGATATTGTCAACCTCAGATGTCTGAGGGAAATTTGCATCTTCAAAAAAGATTCTCATTGCATTTTTTCTTATATAAGCTGCTGCTTCAGGTCCTCCATGACCATCAAAAACCTACAAATAAATTCAATCTCAATCAATTATGTATTCCTTAAACTTATCAAAATAATATAGTTACAACCATAAGTTTCAACAACAATCACCCCATAGAAAGCACTGGGCTTGGGAAACTTGAAGACTGAGCCCAGTTGCACAGATAGATCGTCTATGCGTATATGCTCGTCTTCCATGCATCTTCGAGGCCCCATGTCGGCAAAGCTACCAGAACGGATACTAGGCACAAACTGCAGGACGGCAGACTCAATTGCTTCTGCATCTGAAATTTTTTTCGAAGATATAATATCCTACAAAAGGAGATGGCTTAATATTAAGTTTTCCACCTACAGCAGCACAGCTAATAAAAACTCTAGGAATCATTCATTATTGACGAAATCTATTATTTACATCAAATTCATAATTAAAAATACTATACAGTATGCTAGTAATCAACAGCATGATCAAGACAATTTATTGGAAAAAACCCAGAAATGAATTTCTATTTTATTCATATTTTCGCTACAAATAAATAAATTAATAAAAAAAGGCTAAAATTCCCATTCAGATTCAGCTTGTCTGTCAATAAACAAAACAAAACCCGATCTAAGCAACCTGTCATGAAAGAACAATAACAAAGCAATTCAACACCTAACAAGTTACGAATTCTCAAATTTTAACTTAGCACTATTCAGTATTCTCTAATAAAACAAAACCCAGCAAAAAAAGGGGGACGATGATGAAGAAAACTGACCAACTGGTCGGCGGAGACAGAATCCGAGATGCGAACTTGACTTATCCTTCTGGGGGAAGGCAAAACAGTAACAACATCTTCAATTTCATGAACAGCAGCGGCGGTAGGGCTGTTACCTTTAGCAGCAAAATATTGAACATCCAACACCGGCACGCTTACTACCTCTGCTTCAACTACCATCTTTCATTCACCGAAAAAACAATCAATTTTCAGACTTCAAATTCCCTACTCTTTGGCTAGTAATAATGTTTTTAATTTTGGTTTTTCTGAGTGATCAAAATTTTGAACCATTCTGGCTTGGAACTGGTATATAAATTGGAGCCAGGATTTTTTATTCATAAGAGACCGACGACCGGTGGCTACAGGTAAATGGAAATTCGGTAACTGGACACGTGTGAGTTTTTGAGCCATGGGTTTTAAGAGACCGTTGTTTTCACACGCCAATTCGTTAGCTTCATCGACACGTGACTTCTTTGGTTGACGCGTGCCATGACCTTTGGTACATCTTGAAGGCCGTTTCGTGTACAGTGACTAAAATCGTTCTCCCATGTAATGAGTTGTCTGTCCTCGTTGACTTTATTTTTCCTGAGCTGGCCCCGGGCTGGGGGTGTTTATGGGAGGTCATTTGAGGTAAAGAAAGATTATGTTTCCTGAAATTTTCAATAGAATTAGCGTATGAAAGTTTAATTGTGATTATTTTTTAAAATATTTTTTATTTTAAAATATATTAAAATAATTTTTTTATTTTTTAAATTATTTTAATAAAATACTCTAAAAAACATTAATTTAAAACAAAAAATAAAAAAATTTCAAACTTTTTTTAAAATACAATAACAAAGTTAAAAAAGACATAATATCTTCGTTCCTACATAAAAATTATAAAATGAACTTCACAATCAACAGAATTAAGAAAATGCAATTAATCATGTCATTAGATTTTCAAAATTACACATTAGTGTTTTGATGAGTAAATTGTAATTTTGTATTTTTTAGCTATAAAAATTTCGCTGATTAGTCATCGCTGTTTTAAAATTATTGATCCTAGTGACTTAATGTGTTGCTTTTTAATTGTTTTTAGAAATATATTATAATAATTTTTTTATTTTTAAAAAATTATTTTTAATATTAGCACATTAACATGATTTAAAAAAATTAAATTAATTTTAAATAAAAAATTAAATTTTAAAAAAACATGATTTCAAACTCATTCTAAATGCCACATATAATTAAGTTGGGTGTATAAAAATTATTTATTTTTATTTTCATAAGAGAAGGTAATTTTGGCTAAGATTCCTTCATTGAGAAGGGGAAAAAAAAATCTACCCTTACACATAAATACTTTTGGGTGTGTTGTATACTTTCCTTGCTTTTGTTATGGATGCTGGCTTTCATGGGGCGTCTAGCATTCGAGCCAAAATGTTGTTTGTATAAAAATTTAAATTATTTTATTTGAAATTAATTTGTTAATATTTTTAAATTACTTTAATATAATAATATCAAAAATAAATTTAAAAAATAAAAAATATGTATTGTTTAATATATTTTTAAATAAAAAATATTTTTTTAAAAATAAATGAAGGGACCGTATTATCTCCTCATTGCACACCTAGTAGGCTTTCGTTACTTTTGTCTTTTTCCAAGGTTTTTTTTTTTGTTATGTTCAATAATGAGTTAAATAATAGAAGTTGGGCTACAGGCATGAAACCGAGTCATTGATTTTTACATAAACGGAGGAGTAATCTTAAAGTTTTTGGGTGTAAGTTGGTGGTGTCACATACTCATAAATAAAATTTCCATAAAAAGCTTGTCGGAAGCTTTTTATAATGCATGGCTTTGGCTTGTTGTTGCCAATTTTTATTTATTTTATTTACATGTGGAATCATGCCGGTGAGCGTTTTGGAAGCTAGTGGACTGATGTTATAAATTTGTAAAGTATTAGTACTGAAATGAAACAAATGTACAACTACATGGGTAGAATATATTTTACCCTTAGTTTCTTTGTGTATTTTCTAGCGCCTTCTTTATGTTCACACTTGATGGAGTGGGTGGCGCAAGAAACCTCAAGAGGAAAGGAGATATTTGCCGATGGACAAGGGTGCCCCTGATACGACGATATGAGTGTGTCATGCTTATCTATTCAGATTTCAGACACGCGGCTGTAGTTCACATCTTCTTGGAGAAAACATGGGGACACACGTTATACTTTTGGACGGTTAAGATGCATCTGGACTCTTCTCATGGTTGCTGAACTTTATGTGACCCCCTCTTTGCATAAATAATTTCAGTTGTTATTTTTGCTTATTTTAGCACAAAAAACTTAAAGTTTTTTCAGAATAATATAAATTTAAAAAATATTGGCACAATAACACAATTTATATTTGTCAAATCCTATTTAATTCCTAACCTAAACCTAACCAACCACCAACTCATAATAAATTGCTAATAACACTTAGATTATGCTTATTTTCTTATCAAATTAAACATTGTATAAAAACTATATTTTTTGTAATGTGTTTTTTTACTATAATTATATGGTTTTAAAGTAGCTTGCAATCAAAATTTCTTTTGGATCTTTTATAAATTACATAATAACTATAATTGTTGTCCCGTTTTCATATCTTGTAATTAAATTTTTTGTTAAGCATTTTATAACCAAATTTTCTTTTGAATTTAGGGTGATAGCTATAATTTTTGGTTCATAACACTTGTTCAATAGTTATTTGGTTTGTTAATCTTACAATTCTTTGATTCACAACACTTGTAAATGAAGTTAACATCATTCACATTGTGACCTGTAAGATTTTTATTTACAATTCTAGTACTCCAAATATTCAAGCATTCCGGATTATATTTGACACTTGATGCGTATTTGAATCTCAACTTAAACAAACCAAAAAAATTACAAAAAAAAAAAGAATATTACAAACATGTTAAAATACACTAAAAGGAATAACAAACTCATAATTGATAGGATAACAAAAGATAAAACTCATAATTAACTAAATAACATAGCATAATACATCGATAACATATAAACAAATATATTTATCTATACTTAAATCATCTATTAGATGGGTCGGGTTCATCAATAGCATAGTTTTCCCTTTCTTGTGGTCTCATCCTTAATCACAACATTATCAAAAGTTAATGTTTCTTTAAAGTTTACAAATATAGTGCAACAAATTATGAACTAGCAAAACACATAGACTTATTCTTTATTTTCTTCATCAAGAATATAAAGCACAAAACCAACCTCTTCACCCTCTCATAAGAACAAGCAAACATAATATTCATCAAATACACGAATTAAAGTTCTATAAATAAAACACATCATTCAACATCTATTAATTTTAAAAGGTTATAATTACTTGCAGTATTTTGAATTCATTGCTCATGTTGCTCATATTTCAAGTCTTCTAATGGAGGAACTTCTTTGAGGTCAGGTGTAATGACCCAATATGTTATACCCATATATTAAACAATAAACTTCTCCTCAATAATCACATAATGCATCTTTATAAATATCTCATTCTTTTATGCACCTCGTTGTGATATATAAGTTGTATAGTGGCCTAACCAGTTATAATTATTACTTTTACACTAACTATTTATGACATGCACTACATCACTTGTATTGATGTTAATAGAAATATGTTGTTTGTAGTTGAACTATTGCATCACGCAATAAGGATAATATAGCTCAATCATCTTAAAAAATATTAATAGAATCACTATTGTTTTGATGTCCATCCCGTTAATGTAGACTACAAGAGCAACTGTTAATTTATCATCATCATACAAAGACCACATTATAATACAATTGTAAAAAATATAAATCGACAATAATAGATAAAAGTCTAGTTGATTTATGAAACAAATTGTTCAACATATACCTAGAAAAGGTTGCTACCTATTGAGCTCTTTCTAATAAAATGGTAGCATATGTGTGGGATTATTATCAAACATCCTGGTCCCATACCATCTAACATGAAAAATCACAAGCTTATTAATAATTTTTTTAGTCATATATAAACAATAATTGCATATAATTATTTTGAACATTGCATTACCTACATCATAATAAGAGCTAAAATGTAACCTTTATAGTCCAGACAATCATAACTTGCTTCCTTAAAAGTTGGGGAGGGCTCCTATAGAGATGCTCCAAGGATCGTAGTTGTGTAAAAATATTATTGAGTTATTTTTTAAATTTATTAAAACATTAGAAATGTAATGTAAAATTTTAATTTTTCTCATTCATACTTGTAAAAATAGCAAACATCCTCCATCATGTTTTGCCTCATTCATGTAACATATAGATATCTATACAAGCATGCCAAAACAATAAATTATGTGTGAGAATCGTATCAAGATCCTAAAAAAAATGTCAAATAAATAAGCAACACATATCTCCTGGTAAGATATGTGAATAGAAGAACATTGCTTAACATGTGCAATATATACACTATGACAGTAATTGCTTCACATCATCATACTAAAATTCATAAATATTCAACATTGTAGAATTATAATTTAATACATATATGCACAAGACTTTGTTCTTAGTGTTGTAACCCATATTTTGGGTCCTTACGCAAAAAAATTGAAAAAGAGAGAGAGAGAGAGAGAATATTAGGCAATGAGGAAAGGATGTTAAAGCACCCATAAAATGATTAAAAAAATTAATTGAGGAGGTTTTAAAATACAAGGATCGAAATTTGATAGCATATCATTGACTGATGAGAGCCTGACTAATAAAAAAAATTATTTTGAGGAAGAAATGTCCAAAATCAGATTTTATTAGACTCAATTAAATTTATTAAAGGTTTAATTGAGTTTATGAACAGTTTGATTGTAAGAAAAGTATATTTTTAAGTCAATTTAGGCTTCAATAGGAAGAAATTAAAGTTGTGGGGTTAAATTATAATTTTTTAGAGTTAATTTGGTCAATTCAGGGGCTTAATTGCATAAATATAAAGTTTGATGGCCAATTAAAAACTTAATTGAAGAAATATAAAATTAAGGACCAAACTAGAAAAGAAGTGTAAATAGAAGGGTTGTAATTAATTGAATCAGGGGCCAAATTAAATAAATTAGAAGTTTATTGATTAATTGATGGTCAAATTGCGTAAATCAGAGACTAAGGATTAAAGTGAAAAAGACAACCAACTTTAAGGCCGATGATTGAATTTGGCAGGGATGCAATTGAATTTATTTTTAAATCAAAATTATAATTAAGGACTTGATTGAACAAATTACAAATTAAAGACTGATTTGGACTTTGACATGATTTTACCACCATTTTCTTTTAAATGAAAC